TTCCCGCGTTTTCGGGGAGAGTGTTTGGACGGCGCAGAACGGTAGCAGGATGCGATAACGCTCGAGCATCGTAATTCAAAGATAGCGCGTTGTTTAACGAGCAACAGTGGCTCCTTTGTCGAGGCGAGCGGTGCTGAGATCGGTGAAACGACCTGGCCTACGAATTCCACGCACGCTGCGATACACCGTGCTCGTGGAAAATCCGGAAGCGGAGTAGCCGGCGCGGGAACGAGGCAGGAGGAGTGCAGGTAGACGAGAGGAAAACCGAGAACGAGCGAACGAGCGAGCGAGCGAGCGAGCGAGAGAGAGAGAGAGAGAGAGAGAGAGAGAGAGTACGAGAGAGCAGATCGCCGGCCCCGAGCGATAGATTTGGCCAGTGCGCGAAAACGGGGTTGCAACCCTCCGTTCGAGAGTGCACCCTATCCCTCGCCGGGCCATTAATAATATACCCATATTGGACACAATTCACCTTGAAATTAACCGGCAGCCGATTGGTAAGCCTGGGCAAATTGACTTCGAAATTGACAATTTATAGTCGCTCGATTCCGCGCCCTCGTCTCTCCTCTCCTCTCCTCGCCCCGTGCGCTCTCCCGCTCTGGTTCTAATCCTCTCTGCTCCTCGTTTCTCGTTTCTTTCTTTCTCCTCGCCCGTCTCGATCACGATCGACCCGCGGGGCTACGGAGAATTTCAGGCACTGTCGAATTTCGACGATTGAGCGAACGATGATTCCCTCGTTTTCTCCGCCGAGAGGCGCTAGACGGATCAGCTCGCGAGGAACGCGTGGATTTTTTGCCCAGACCGGGCTAAACGAGATCCAGGAACACCGGCTAGCGTTCAGGTGATCCGAGGGACCGAGACGATCCGTCCTTAAACGGTTCATCACGTAAGAATGGGTTGCAACTGTTGCTCGCGGAGCACTCCGGCATTGCCTTCTCCTCGTGTATATCCTCGGTTCCCTTTTCAGCCCCGTTGAATTCTTCTCCGCGCTTTCTCGTCCTCCTTCTCGTTCCCGTCTCGCCGACGAGGGCCGGACGAGGAGCCGCTTCTGCGGCGCAGCGATCATTAAGGCGGGGAATGATCGGATCAAAGCATAGCACCTGGCGCGATCATCGCGAATCCCACACGCGATACTCCACCGGACGCGGATCCAGCGCTACGCCGATGCAACTTTTATCCGATCGATCTGGGTCGTTCGTCCCAGAGGATCTCCGCGGTTCGCGAAAACCGTGACAATCGAGTAGCAAATTCGGCGCAACATCTACCCGGTCGCGCGATTCTTTCCACGTTTCTACCTGTTGGTATCGCGCGCGCGTCAGTGGAACGCGCGCCCGCGGTCTGTCAGCGATGTCTATCTAGAGTTTTTGAGGCGCTCGGCGGAAAAAGCTGGCGCCAACAGGCGTGATCGACGCGCGTTCAGGTATCCTGTCTCGCTTCCCGAAGCAGGCGAAGCAGGGGAATTAATCGTAGCGAGTCGAAACGCGGAGTAGCTACGGGGGCCGCAGGTTGCCGCAATACGGCCGATTACCGCCGATCTCTTTCTCCTTCTCGATCCGTTGGCCAACTCGATCGGTCACGATCGGCTTATGCCCGCGAAATCGTGCACCACGCGATTTCGCAAGGGGCCGCCTTTCTCGATATCCGGCCCGATTCCGCCGATTTTCGTCACGCGGCTACGACGACGCACCGTCGTCGGCGAGATCCGGCCGCGAAGCTTTTCTCATTTCGCCGGTAGACTCGTACGCAAACAAGTACGTATTATACGGGTCTAAGCGTTCGAGAGTGCGTTCTTGTTTTCGGTGTAACCCGAAGCTAAGCGGTTTAAGAGATCAACGCCGTATAAACCGGCCGTCTGAGAATCGTCTGGAGATCTCGTGCGTGAGAGCCGGCGGAGGGACAGAGAGAGGCGGCGTGACGGAGCGGATGGGATGGGTGGATGGAGTGAAAGAGAGAGAGAGAGGGAGTGGGAGGGCGTCAGGGAAACGAAGAACGGAGATCGAGAGATCGAGATGCCGGTGGATGAAGAGAGCGGAGAAAGCACCCTGTCGGAACGATAGAGGGGGCGTAGAGAGTGGAAGGCAGCACGAGAGGACGAGGAAGAAGACCGTGGGCAAGGCGAAGAGGCAAAGCGAGAGAGGGCAGGCAGAAAGACGGGATGAAAAATTAGATTTACAAATCTGTCCTGACTACTATGAGATTGCTCGCTTACCGAGCAGAGATGCTCAACCCGTCGCTGCTGCATCGCGTGGCGCCTCTGCCACCGGATATAAATATCCAGAGAGGAGCACTCTTCCGTCCCGCTCCGCGCGGCGCTTCAATTTTCCTTCCCTTCCCTTCCCTTTGCTCCATTTTCGTCGCGACGCTGCACCCGAGACGAAATCGTTTGCCAGCCATGGCCGCGGCCTACAAAGGGGTGCCGCGCGAGTCGAGCGGGATTACCGGTTAAATTTCCAGCGGAACGCGGCGGATCGGAGCGGATCGGAGCGGATCGGAGCGGATCGGAGCGGATCGGACGGCGATTGAGAACCCCTACGCGCGAATACAACCGCTATATCGGGAACCGGAGGAAAGGATCCTGCCGCGGTAACAACGCGAGTCTCAGACGCATTTCCCCGGCGAAAGCAAAAGCTCGAATCACGCGCGCACGCTTCGTACGTACGCTTCGCGCGGCATGTGTCCGTGCCAGGCGTGTATATGGAAGCGCCTGTACGGCGCCTACGTCCCGTGAAAAATGAACGTTCCTGCCAGCCGCAGCATCCACACGCTTCGCCATCCCGTGGCTAGCCGCGCGCTCCGCGTCCAGATGCCTCCGCGTTTTTCCATCGCGAATCGCCGCGCGGACAGCTCGTCGACCATCTCGCGCGAGTTCACCCCTGGGACGAGAGAACGATCGAGCCTTCGAGAGACGCGACGAGTGGAGCAAACGCAGGCTGTTTGGCCCCTCGCGTGCCTTTATCTCGCCCTCTGCTAGGTTTATCGCGACAACGTCGGCGCGTATTAGCCGGTGGTATCTCGCGCGGCTCGAGGCCGAGCTCGCTCGCGACCACGCGCGAGCTGAATCTCGCGTTCGGTCACAGTCGGCCGAGAACCAGTTCTCGAAACGTAGCCGCGTTCTAGATACCACGCGAGAGACTAATCGACGCGCGTAGCCGGTCAGAAGCTCGATCATCGAGCTACGTACGAGCTCGTTTCCTCCGTTGAGTCGGGACCGACCGACCAGGAGTGTCATCGACTACGCGAGAAAAGACGCGTTCGTTTGCACGAGCGAGCGCGGCATCTCGTAAAATCGCGCGTCTTTTCTCGCGACGATAATCGCACGGCTTACGACGCGTCTGTCGTAAGCACGACGATCGGGGTAAGACGTTACCTCGATGACGGGTGTCTCTAACCACAGTAACTCTCTACCACTGTACAGCTCCAGGCCAGGAAGACCACCGAAGAGAGCTTCCGTCGGTCTGAGTCTCGCAGCCAGCCACCTGGCCGCGGCCACCGGTCACCACCCCCAGCATTCGCTGAAGAAGCACAGGATGGACAACGGGGATTACTACGAGAACGGGCATTTGGGTAAGTGCCGCCACGTTTCCTTTTGTCCAGCGGACCACCGCTCGTAAGCGTCACCGACGCCCGATCGATCGGCCTGCTCGAGCAGCGCTCACGATTCCGGTTACGACCGTGCGAACGACTTTTTAGCCATTCGCGGCCTGTCCCGTGTCCCGGGGCCCCCGAGACGTTCGTATTTCACGCCGCGTGCCGCGTCCTTTCTCTCGATAACGCCACGTTTTATGGAGACGCCGCGGATTTCGCGACAACGTTGTTGTTCCACCGCGTCGTCGTCTAGCCCCTCTCGGTCGTTTCGACGTGGTTAGCTGCGAACGAGCAAGGTAGGTGGAGGAGACGAAGCGAGAGGAGAAAGAGGCAGAGATCGCAGATACGAGCGAGTGACTGGAGAATGACTCGCGAGCAGAGGTAGCGGGCACGTTTGCGTAGATACGTAGCCCTGGTACCAGGGGCACGCACTTGATTACTGCCATCCGTATACGCGCCGTGCCACGGTGACCCTACCGATCAATTAATTAGGGGAATCAAACACACTTGGAGTGAGCAAATTAACTGCAACTGCACCCGCCGTGTTGCGGCCAGTGACGGCGGTGGTGGTGGTGGTGGTGGTAGCCGTGGTCGATGTCGGGATATCGATACACTCGCGATACCTCTAACCCGTTTCCACGTCTTCCCGAATCTTTCTGAATCTTTCACCGCAACGCCGATCGATCGTCCCCTTCGTCTATTCTCTCGCGCGATGACGGCAAAGGACATGAACGACGATCGCGTGGAACAAGCGTCGCGTTGGTTCCTCGCGAGGCAAAGTCGGCGGGTAAAATCGCGCGGAACCGCGCCGACGATCGCCGCGCGGAAATTGGTTAAGCAAATAATCGCGAATACGCCGGCCGTCCAATTTTACGGGCAAATACGTTTGACGGTGCAACGTTAATGAATTAATGCCGCGCGAGCGAGCGAGCGAGCTGGCCAGCTCTAGCTAGAGTGGTTGCGCAACAGCGCGGCCGGGGTAAACGTTGAAACGGCGAGCAATTAATTACGAGCCCGCGGTAATTGTATAATTGTTTTACGATTGGATCCCCTTTCTGGGTACGATTGATCGCGGCGCCGCAACCGCCCGTTTCCTTTCCACTTTGTCGAGGACGCGATCCTCCGCGACGGCGCTGCACGTCGCTCGTTACGCCGCGGAGCCTCGTAAAACGGAAATCGTAAACACTCGCGTCTTTAATCCCCGCCAGCTGTAAAAATCGAGCGTCCTTCTCGTTAAGTCCGAGAAAGTAGCATCCGTTTGACAAGAACCCCCCTCTCTCTCTCTCTCTCTCTCTCTCTCGCTCCCTTTATCGTTCTCGGAGGATCGAACGCGCGTGTACGTGGCGCGCAGAGAGTCGAAAAGGTGCGCGCGTTTAATCGTCGCGGAATAAACGACCGGTTATCGGACTCGCGATCTCGTAGCCAGGAGCACGCGTTTACGTGGATTATCTCGCTGAAATCATCCCCTATACGATATCAATTTACCTCGAAGAACCGCGAGGATCTCGCGAGGTGAAAGGAAGGAAGAAAGAAAGAAAGAAAGAAAGAGAGAAAGGTAGGGGAGAGGAGGGCAGGGAAGGGTTGGAAGACGGAGAAGGAAGGAAGCGAGGACCGAGGCGAAAGCAACACGTACTCGAAGAGAGAGAGAGAGAGAGAGAGAGAGAGAGAGAGAACGGCGTGGCTCGCGTACAGGGGATTTTTTTCAATTTGGACCGGTAGGCGAGCGCCACTTGCCATAACGCAATTAATAAACTCAACGAGCGAGATCCGATCCCGATAGCGGCGGCGTAACATCCATTCGGGACGTAGCGGGCACAATGGCCGGCACAATGGCCGTGTATACGTGTACCCGACGCTCGGTACAGCCAGGACGGCCGATACGCATCTATGTTGTCTCTACAAAATTAAAACCCATGAGAAAAATAAATAGCCCGAGGGGAGAGCGCGGAGCAGGGGGTCGGGAAGCGGGAAAGACGAAGGGAGGACGGGGAAAGGGAGGAAAACGGGAACGCGTGCGGGGGTTGTTGCTGCTGCTTGGCTTAGGTTAACGACGCGTGTGCGCGTCTCTCGTGCACGAGAGCGAGAGTCTCTTCGCTCGGCTCTCGCGCGCCTTCCGCTCGCGTTCGCCGCAGCTCCACTCTCTCTCTCTCTCTCCCTCTCTCGTTCTCTGTATATTCGGTCCGATCGTTTTTCGATGAAAACTATTCGCCGGAGCTGGAACTATTAGGCTAGCCTGCGTAATAAACTAATGACTATCGGCTAACGTCCGGTCGTACGTGTGCGTTCCCAGCCCTGGCGTAATTATTTAATGCATCGATTACCGAAATAGCATTAATCAAATTGGCCGGCCGCTATTTATATTATATGACCTAATGCACGGCGAATCGTATATTAATGCGCAAACTAAGTAAATTATCCAAGCATCCCCGTTTACGCGCATTTCCCTTCTTCCGCGTCGAGAGACGCTGAGTGGTTCCGGCCGCGTATCGATGCCGACCATATCGGCGCGGGGATCCACTCGATTGCTACGAATCGACTGGCCGACCAGTTTCGCCAGTCGAACAGAGGGGGTGGCCAGCAAGCGGGTGGTATCGCGCGAACCTGGAAAACGCGCTGGACGATCGTCGATAGTCGCGGCGAAACATCGCGAGCAGACGTGTCGCGGTTCGCGGTGCGAATCGGTGCAAGCGGAGGCGAGACGAGAGAGACGGCAGAGAGAGAAGGAGAGAGAGAGAGAGAGAGAGAGAGAGAGAGAGAGGCGAG